TTTGGGCACAGCTGGGCCGTCCCTGAGGTCTGTCAGGTGTCAGAGATGGAAAGGAATGAGAAAGCAGTGCCCCACTGTCAGCCCTGAACTGCAAAGGAAATACTATCTGCAGTCATTCTGGCATAGAGAGTCCAAGCAGCAGCTTGCTTTTTAATTTAAGAATTAGGAGTGTGCGCCAGGTGGCTAAATGTTCCTAGTCCTCCCCTGTGTACAGAAAAAAAGCATCCGTCCTCCCCAAGCTCCCTCACAAGTATTAGTCAAAAATGATGCTCCTACCACACAGAGGGCAAATCTTTCCAGCTGAAGCCCAGCAGAGCAGTGGTTACCCACTGTATCACTAGGGCTGGATTGCACTTATTCTTAGCCACCACCAGGAATGATTCTCCACTGATTTGACCCCAGTATTGCAGGTTTTAGCTGCGTGGTATGGATGCCACCCATCACAGTCAGCCTGGCAGCACATTGCACCCATCCTGCACAGAGGTATGGCAGGAGGGAGAAGCAGACCCCACAGAGGGGATGCTCAGTCCTCAAATGGGGGAGGCTGACCTGGCACACGCGTGCCAGTGGGCAGGGGAACCCTGGAAAACTCCCAAGGACAATGCTGGAAGAGGAGACAAAGTACTGAAACACTGATGAGAAGCAGAGAACTGGTGAAACGTGTGTTATAGCTATAGTGAATGACGAATCCGAGAAAAAGAGCAAGCAAACATTTCTGTGCAACGGGACTGCTCAGCTCCTGCTCTGCGCTTGTGCAGGCAGCTGCTGGGCTTGGGAGCCCAGGGCCACTGCTTCAGTGTGCATGCCATCTAGTGAACAAGAGAAAGAAGAGCAAACATCACCCCTGCATCCCTTGCAAGCCTGGAGACAGTGCCCGGGGGGGTCCCAGTGGGTGTTTGGGAGGGCAGGTGGGGTGCCAGGGCAGTATGTCCCTGTCACCCAGCCCCATCCCACCCAGGAGAGGGGCAACAACAAACCCCATCAGCAAAGCAGAGCCACCAGCCTCTGGAGAGGCTTGGCTTGCTCGAGCCCTGGGTAGTTTGGCATTTGGAGAATTAAACCAGCGGCCAGTGCAGCAGAACACACAAGAGCCAAATGGCTTAACAGGGTGCAGATGACTCCTGAAGGACAGCAGTGCTCACCTCCAGCTGTCCTCCTGCAGCAGGGGAGGGAGAGCCAATGCAGCCATAGGAGGAAAGCAGTTAGGCACAAGCCCCAGCCCCATGACTTTCCCTGCCTGCCCTGCTTTTTCTTCCCCCAGAGAGTTTCATCATCCCCATGACAGCAGGAACACTGCAAAAAGCCTTTGGGCAGCTCTGAGGAGCTTGGAGCCTAGACATGACAGGACACACAGCTCAGAGAAGGTAATGAGGAGAGCTGAGAATGCCACAGCTGCTGCAGCACCAGTAACTTTCCAGGGCTGTCATTCCTATTTTTAAAAATTAAGAATGATTTTTACTTTTGCTCTGTTTTCAGCATTGCACCAGGGTGGAATGGTAGATAATTATTTCTGGAATACACAGTACTTTCAACATATATTTACAAATGTAAGTATCCTCACAGCTGAAGCTCCCCTCAGGCACTGCCAAGGACATGGAGATGAAGTTAAATACTCCCATCGGATCCTCTGCTTCACTGGGATACATTGAGTGAGGCCATTTTTGACCAGTGTGACCCAGGAGACAGTGCAGGCCTGGTACATGAAAATGAAGGAGATGGCTGAGTACGCGCCCTCAGCTACTTCATTTCTTACTATCTTGCGGAGTGAGAAGACGGGCACCGTCATGCCTTGTGCTTGTCCTTCTCTCACCACAGTACTGTCCGTTTAAAACCCTGCCAGCAACAACCTACAGTACCAACTGCCTCTGCCTTTCAGCACCTCATGTCTGAACTCACAGACTGCAATATTACCTAACCAGGGTGGACACTAGTAGCAAGGTCATTTCCAGCATGAAACCTAAGGCAGAAGTTGGCAGGCTCCAGAGCAACCTTCCAAAAAATGAGGGGAAAACCACACCAGCTCCACAGGATCACGTCAAAGCTGCCCTTGCACACTGAGTGTCCTTCCTTGGAGTAGGGCATCTGGATGAAAAAAATCATAACTAAACCAGCAGGTAAAAATCTCTGAGCAGAAAACAAAGACCACACAGGCCCTGTGGTTGGTTACAGAGATGGTGGGAGCTTTTCTGAGCAATCTGAGGGAGCAAGCAGAGGTCTCCCCCTGCAGTGACTGCAGAAAAGGTGATTTGTATCTTGGCCCCATAATGCATCCCCAGGATCCAAGTGCTCCTCAGCCAAGGACAGCATGGGAGGAGGCAGGGAGGCATCCCTCGGACCTCCTTGTCCCACCAAAGCAAGGGAGCTGAGGCATTTGTCTGAGAACTCTGTTAAAGCCAGGCAAGCTAATTAAAAAGGAAGAAAAAGCCATGCCTAAGTGGCTTGCGCTCCTCAGGCGACAGGATGCAATACTCCTCTTCACCAAGCAGGGTCAGCCGAGCACTATTTTAACACACACCGAAGTCATCGAGGGAACTGCTGCTTTACTTAAAATCTACCAGTTTCAGCTTCATAGCAAAGATGTTACTGCCACTGAGCTGCAGCATGCAGCAGAAGTGTTTCTGAAGCAACTACCTCTATTTTAAAGAGCTGGAAGTTCAGCCTTGCAAGGTTCACGTGCCAGAACTGGCTCTGGAGGTTTCTCTAAGTCAGCAAAACCCTGACAAGAAGCAAAACTGGTATGAGGCTGCAGCCAGTGATCAGGCAGGAAATCAGACACATACCCAGGTTTCTCAATCTGTTACTTTATTAGAAGGGTCTTTACATCACAGTGGTGGCCCCACTGAAAACACTTTACAAAATATTAAAAAACCCTTTTAATTCAAAGCCACATTTTAAAAAATGGCATCCCATCCCCCCTCAAAACCAATCTGGGTTTATTCATGGTTCCTTCTGAAGAGGAAACAGCAAAAACATCCTCTTTTGAGAGTGGTGGTGGGGGGGAATATATAACCACTCTGTAAACACGACATTCAGAACATGTGCCCCCCTGCCCTCTTGCAGGAGAGGGACACGGTACTAGAGACCTGGCACACCCAGAGAGGGAACAGAGAATAGGGAAAGGGCAGAGGACAAAATCATTCCCACCCTCTGTTAGCAAAAGCAAAACTATGTTGCTAGCTCCAGGCTGCAAATAAGCTGGACTGGAGAAAGAGACAACTGATTTACCATGGGGGCATCCCATCAGCTCTTGAAAAGCCCCCAGAAGTAGTCTCCTTCCTCATGGCTGCACAATATCCAGAGAGAGCTGACACTCCCTGGGCTGGTGAAGAGGACACTCAAAGGTATGTTACGAACAGCGTGCTGCAGGACATCCTTCTGCAAGTCATACATAACCCATGAAGGACAGGCACCAGCTACAGATTTCTGTAACAACAACCATTTCATAGAATAGCTCCAGCCTGACCCCATGGGACTGGGAACAAAACCCCTGGGGCTGCTATAACACAGTTCTAATGCAATTAAAAGGCTCAAACCAGCACATTGTCCTGGTTCAGGAACAACCCCCTGCATTCATTAATTTTACATCAGCTCCCCAGCCAGCACTATCATATCGGACAGGCACAGTCAATGCTTTTAAAGATGGGACAGGCAGCCTTCCTAGGAGGACAGGCTAGTTACTGAAAAGCTGCTATGCAGTCTGCTTGCAAAGGGTCCCAGCCCTTAGACGTCCATCTAGGCTATGTTTATTAATAGAGACATTAATGGTATGGATTCAGAAGAAACTTGGAATGTCCCAAATGCATATGGTCTTGCTAGTTTGCAGAAAGCTTATAAATATGTATTATGAACTCTAAATGGGTAGTAAATGCACTCCTCAGATAAAGAGGTGTTAAAGACCTGGGGGCTGACTCTTTCAGCTAGATCCCTAGAAGTGTAGCATACCACATACCACCTTTTCCTGAAATGCCAGTATGTCTCTAAATCAACATATAAAACCTTAAAAAAAACAACCTTTTTTTTTTTTTTTTTTTTTTTAAGCAGAGGCACTTTTCCTTGCTAGGGAAGCAGGCCCAAAACAAACAACGTTGTCCACAGATCAACAGAGAAAAAAACTTAAGTGCTACCTTACACCTTTTGGTTGTATAAAGAAGAAGGTGCTGCCCGGTGAGGTCCCTGACCCCCTATCCAGGTCTGTGCTCTGGGTCCTACCCAGCAGCTCAGCCAAGCACTGCCTTGTGCAGGGGGAGGCAGGCAGAAGGCAGCCCAGCTGAGACACATCATCATGGAGCAGAAAGGACAGAGGGCTGGACCTGCCACTGCTCTGCCGCTCTGCAGCGTGACTCCAACCTGAAAGCCAGGAGAATCATCCAAGAAACTGTGGCACATCATAAGAAGATGAGACAGTGGGGAAAGCGATGCTGGGAGTAACAAGCCACCAGGACCTGTCTTTGCATCTCCTCTTCCCTTGCATCCCATGTTTTAAGACTCCTTTATTGCTTCCAAATGATGCTTTGCATCCCATAACCCTGACTACAGTGGCCAGGCTGGCTGACCCACATGGCCCACACGTATATAGCACTGAAAAAAAAAGAAAATCTCAAGCACATGTGTGATCATGAGAGCTCTGGCAATAACACCCTTCGGCCCCTGACTTGTCCTTACCAGAAGGCACATGACTGTGACCGATACCTCACTGTGTCACCGCAGGACTGAGCACTGTTACAAATCTCACCCTCTGCACATACACATACACTTTTTTAAGACACAAAAGCCTGCAGCCAGCTGAACAGTTTAATTATGCCATAGTCCAGTCTCTGCTAAGATAGTGTTAGCTAGGCACCAGAGGGACTGCGGTGCCAGCAATCTCAGCAAACGAAGAAGCAGAAGCATCTTTGGAAGGGCATCCAGCTGGTCCCCTTTCTGCATAGTCTGTATGGGGAGGAAGAGAAAAGAAAAAACCCAATCCTCCCTCCTCAAAGGAGGAAAAAAAAAAAATCACTGTCTCTCCCTTGAGCAAAAAAGGGACACAGCAGATAGAAATAAATCTAAGGCAAGTGTTGGGGGGCCACAGGGCCAAGGTTAGCCTAAGACAATGCCAAAGCTGCTCTGCCGCAGACTAGCCCCTACAGAGGACTGGGAGGAAGAGCAGCCACTGTGGAGAGGGAAGCTGATAACCCCTGTGCAGAGGGCAGGAGCCATCGCCTGTTTCTCCTGTTCAGTGCGGTTATTGCTTCAGTCTGAGCTGACAAGCCTGGTGAGCACCAGGCTCACGTGAGAGGCAATGCGTCCAGCTAACAGTGCAAGTACAATCGCAGAAAAGGTCCTGCCTGGCTTCCCAGCCTGGAGCTGTGCTGAGCAGGCTAGCTCCTGGAAAAGCCACTAAAACTTCCAGTCAGCATACCCCAGTGCAGGACAGAGGCCACATTTATCCCAGACAGAGTGAGGGGACAGGAGGGTGCTGTTGTAAGAAGAGGCTGCCAAGAGGATCTTCCAAGTCCAAGTTGCCCACCTGCAGCCCAGGAGGACACAGCAAATACCAGCTGGTGGCCTGCCAGCTGTGGGGTGTTACGAGCTCTCTGCAGAGCTGAACAGGACGAACTTGGCATGTTTGGTCGGAGATGCTGGCGTCTGTCCATCTGCCTCTTCGCTCAGCTTGAAGAACATCTCCTGCTCACGCTTCTTCTGGTTCAGCTCATCCTCCAGGGCCTTAAGCAGAAAGGAACACACACAAGAGCTGTATTTGAGATTGCACTGGAGCTACGGACACTGTCCCCTCCAACCAGCCAAGCAGAAGACCCTGCCCATGCTGAGGAGGCACTACCTTCTTCCGTGGCCTCAGCTTGTCTCGCCACTCCTTCATGTGCTGGTTGTGGTTCTCATCTAGGGACTTAAGCTTCTGGGTTTCATGCTCAATCAAGAGGTGACACTTTTCATTCTAAACAGAGATCACAAAACAGAACACCCATTAAGCAGCTGGGACTGTAAATCCAGTGATCAAACAGGACTTGCATCACCCAGAGGCATTCAGAGCTCTGAGCTCCAGGGCACATTTAGACACAGCCACAAAAACCTCTCAAGGCAGCGCAATGGGACATCAGGTCTAGTTCTCTGACAGTCCTCTGCAGCCACTTCTCATGACATGCTCCCTGCGATGGAGCAGAAACAGCACAGAGGCAGCCCCAAGAGACCAAGCCACAAGGGATGGGTACCTGCAGCTGCTGGAGCTCATTTGTATTGCTCTCGCACTGGGCCTGCATGTCCTTCATCTGCGTCTCGTGCTTCTGCTGCTGGTGCAGCCGCTCTGCTTTTTGCCTCTTCTCTTCCTGCTGAGCAAACTGGAAGAGAGAAAAGCAGGTGCCCATGTAGGCAGTGTTGCTCTGATCTCTGAAGCTGGTTAAGAGACTGGCCGGTTTGCACTATTGTATAGGTAAGAAAGAAAAGCCCTGAGGATGCTTCCCAACACTAGTCACGACAGAAACAGTGCTGAAAACCATACTTGATGCCACAAAAAGCAATAACCTCTGACTCCCTGCAGTGGGTTAGAAATTTGGCAATAGTTGTCTTTTTTCGACTTCCCTTCTGCCTGTAGGCCAGCGAAGTACTTCACCCCCAAGTCAAGCCTCAACCCTTGTCCCCTTTGCAAGACCTGACCTGTTTTATCTTCTCCCGCTGCTCGGATGCACTCCCGCTGGAGTGGATGTGAAGGCTCTTCTTGTACATGGCCATGCGCGTCTTCCCTTCGCTTCGCTGGATTTTGGGGAGCCGGGCTTTCTCCTGCTGCTGCCGAATTTTCAGCTGCTCTAACATGCGCTGATTGTACCGCTGCATTTGCTCCCTTTCCTGCAATGGTAGAGGGACAGGTATAAGAGGAGTAGGAACACCTCAGGCCTATAAGAAAACGCTGAGGAGATCAAAAGAGAGCTGGAGAACAGATTTGGCAGTTGCACGGAGGTGGCTGGTGACAGACAGCTCCAAAGGGACAAGAGGTGAGGGCAGCTACTGAACATGCTGTGAAAGCAGAGGAGAAGGGGGCTGGAAGGAAGCAGAAATGACTGTGAGACATGCCAGGCTTCAGTCACTGCTCTGGGAATCCACCATCCCACACACTGGACAGTGACAGATTTCCAGAAAAGCTGCCAAAATTCACAGCTGCTTCTTGTCTCTTAAACGCATGTGGCACAGAATACGTGTCCCAAGCAAGTAGGCTGACCCGAGCGTTATTCTGGTCCCTTTCCACTAATAATGACCAAGTCCCTTAACTCCTAACCCACCCTTACCCACTTACAGCCTGGAAGGGAAACACCCTTTCTGGGGACACCCAGGGACCCTGCCGACCAGCACTGGAAAAGTGCTGGAAAGTTAGGAAAGTTCTAACTCTTCACCTTTTCATGCTTCCGGAGCAACTCATGCCTCTGGAGGAAATACTGGTCCTTTAGCTGCTGCTTGACAAGCTGGTGTTTCTCCTGTTGCTGATGCTCTTCAAGATCCCAGATGCACGCCTCCCGGTCTGAGGAAGGGAGAAGGGTCAGGAGACAACCCACCCTGGCCCCCCAGCTTGGTCACACGAAGCATCCCAACCATGAGCGATCCCTATATGCAGGAGCAGTGCAGCAGATGTGGGGGGTGATCGTTCACCTCCTGTTTTCCAAGAGAAATTGGTTGCAAACCATATTGGAGAATCATTTCTTGCAGTTATGAAGCCTAATTGGTTCGTATTTGTAAAGAGCTTTGAAGATTAAAGCACTAAGTATTATTATTGTTAAACATTTAGACAGGATCTGGCAAGGCTGTTTTTTCCAAATCCTATTCTGCCAGCTTGCAACTCTGTCACAGCATCTGTTGCGTGGGAAGAGCCAGCGTTGGATAAACCCATCGTTACAGCATTTGCTTTCCTCCTTTACAGCCTTTACCACCCACCTCTCATGAGCTGCTGCTTTTTGTTCAGGCACTCGCGTTCCTTGTCACAGATCTCTTTTTTGTTCTGGGTGGTTATATTCTTCATGGCTAGCTCCAGGTCCTCCTTCTGCTTGGCCAAAAACTCTTGTTCCTGGAAGAAAACAGCAGTACCACCATGAGCACTCCTTCTGCTGCAACTTGAAAAGCATCTGGTGGTGTTTGAGAAACTGCCAGTCCCTCAGGGAGGAAGGATGCTTCTGTCTACTACGCACTTCCCTGTCTTGGAGTTGTAATCTTCTCTCAGCCTTACCATAGTTTGTTTTTTCTGGGCAAAGTCATCCATCTTCACCTTCATGTTCCCTTTGCGCTGTTGCCGTGGCAGCTTCTCAACCTCATTTTTGACCTTTGGGGAGGGAAATGAGATTTATCAGCAGGTAACTTTAGGCCAAGAACAACCCCACCTAATGTTGCTAAACAGCTGGACCTCAGGAAACACCCAAATATACCACAGAAAAGCAAGAGCTTCCTGCTAAAACACCAACAACTGCTTCCCTCTCAAATTCTGCTATGGAGAAATGCGGAAGCTTTCCTGGAAGAAACAGATGCAGGAAGCCAGCTTCCTCCATCTTATCCCCATTTTTACCTCTTTCTTCATCTGCTTCAGCTGCTCCAGGAATTTTACATGGTCCCGCTCCTGCTCCAGGCGAATGCGCTTGGCCTCCTCCCGCCGGCGCAGCAAGTGATCTTGTTCCATCTTCTCAATCTGCTGCTTCTGCTGCCGTTCAAGGTTTTCCAGTTCAGTGTCGTAGAACTTCTTCTTTGCCTACAGGGGAAGGGAACAGAGGTCAACCTCAGTGTCCTCTCCGCTTCATTTCCTTCCAAAAGTTGTTTGGGTTTTTTTTTAAAGAAAAAATAAATAATTAAAAAAAAAAAAAAAAAAAAAAAAAAGGGGCAGGAGGTTGTCCTTGCATGGACTGAGCCTCTTTACTAAACATAGGGGAGAGAAATTTCAAAATAACACCCCACAAAGCACACAGGGCAGAGCCAGCTCTAGCGTGAGTACAAAGCATTTTTTAACTTGTTCTAGTGCTAATGCACTTCAAGCCTTTCTCCTGCTTACATCCTGATTGCAACATCCCACTGGGACCCAGGGCCCTGGGCAAATATTAGCAGGCAGTGAAGCTCAAGCATAACAGTTCTTTCTCTGCAGACAAGGATTTCCAAGTCTGAGGGCACTGCACTCCAACAGCACCCTTGTGTCCAATCTCTCCCTCCCTGCAAGCTGCAGGGATGGAGCACCCAGGTGTCAATGAGAGCAGGTTGCAAACTGCCCCAGAAAAAGGGTAAAGGAAGTAGGTTTGGGGCTCTTCCACATCGCACTGCATGGTGAATAAATCTCACAAATGAGAAGTGACTTGCTAAGATGGGAATTCACAGACGTGGCACGTCAAGACTGTAGAAATACAACAGAGCACACGAATGAGTGATGGCTCCCAGCCTGCCGTGAGGGGATGGGGTTGCCAGGCGTAGATGCTAGGGGAATTAATAAAGGGGTATTTAAAAGATGGCTCATGAAAGCTTTGAAGTGACTTATCTACAAAATTATTTTACTTCAACAGAAGCTGCCCATAGAGGGACTAAGTATGTAAGCCCAGTTTATCTTTATTCAATTTACACTCAAAGACTTGCCAGATTTCCTGCTGTCACACGCTAGCCACATTGCTTTCTTACTTAAAGGTTTTTTTTCTGTGAAATACAACAGCACTATAAACTGTTTCTCACAGTAGCTGTGAACAGACATACAAGAAAAGATCATTAAAGAGGGAAAGTCCAGAACAACCCTTCTCCTGCTACACCCTGCCGGGCAATGGCAGTCAGTGCATCCCAAGCTGCAGGCTGCACATCCTCAATGCCCACGAAAGCCTCTGTCCTCCACAAACACATCCCATGCCTCAAATCCCACAGGGGTTCCTCGGCGGTCCTGCTCCCTCCAGCCACGATGCCCCAGGACTGCTGCAACCCAGAGAGCATCACCCTGCACAAGGGTTTGCGGGGCATCTGTAGAGAAGTCAAACGAGCCGATACCCAGGAGCTTCCCCTTCCCTGCCCACGTACTGTCATTTCTTGCTCGAAACGCCTCAGCATCTGCTCCAGCTGCAGCTGGTGTTTGCTGTTGAGCTGGGCCTGGTTTCGATGCTCCTCCTTCTGAAGGAGACGCAGCTCCCGCAGCTCCTGGCGCCTGCAGAGGGTTAAAACGGAGGGGGAGAGGGAAATACAGTCAGACAAGTTCAGAGGCATGTGCCTAAGCAGAGATGGCAGAATCAATAACCAGAGCACTTCGGGAGGGAACGAAAGCTGCACAGCCATCCCGTAGCACCCTGCCACTTGCTTTGAGCCCAGGCAGGAGGTAAATGCCAACTGACTGATGCGCTCTCGTGCTCTGCGACACCAGAGCACTGCGAGGAAGCAGGATGCTAATTACGGTAACTGTTGGAAAACTTGTCAGTTTTCACAGGTAAGGCCTGTTAGCATTCACAGCTTCTTAAACAAGCCCCGCCAAAGATCCTAAGGTGATTCTGCAGGCACCGCTCCCCCAGCCAGCACCCAAAATACCTATTCTGTCAGCTGGGTTAGTGCACACTGGTCTTCAGAACACAGCTCAGGCCAAGCTGGTGCTGCTCTGGCCTGGCCCTTGTGCTCCACATCCGTTCTTGCTCATGCCTGGGTGACAGAAAGGGCAGTTTTCCCAAATTCTGACCTATCTACCACAACATTGCATCACTCTGCTCGTGCAGCTTCATATCCAATAAAAGGGAGCCTCTGCTCAGACGGTTGTGTTTGAGCCCATTTGCCATGTTTGTGCCCAGTAGAACTAGAAATCACTGATGTACCATGCAAAAGGAACAGCAGCAGCAGTTTCCCCATGCCAGATCCCCACCATGACCTTTGCTGCTGTACACTAGCCTTACACATTAAGTACAACCCTCTCTTCCCCCACCTTGCAGATGGAGCAGGCACTATTTAAAAATTTAGAAGGAGCCTTTTCTCAAGGATGCCACCACAGCTAAGAGTGGACCAGGAGAAAGCAGCTGTGCCTGGAAATTCCCTGCATGCTAGTATACACGCTCCTTGTGTTTTATTGGAGTTATATGCACTTCTCGCACAAAAGTGAGCAGCTAATGAGCTTTTGCATAGATCTTATATTAGGGCCTAGGAATAAGGCTGCTACAGGGACACATAGCACTTGGGACAGATTATGTTCTCAGGGAGTCCCTCAGAGCAGCACAAGGGAGCCTAGAATAGGGCATCAAGCAAAACAATTTGTATTTTAAGGGCCTTTTCATTTCAGTACTGCTACTGATAGTAACAGAGCTAGAAACAGCAGTTTCTCTTCCTGAGAATAGGTCATGGAGGTTTGAGAGCCATAAGATCTGCAAAGGAGTCACAAAGGCTTAAGCAGGGAGGATACACCCATGAATATTAAGTGACGCTCAAGGAGTTTACAACTCCCTTGACCTTTCTGTTAATGAAGTCTGAGGAGGTACAAGAACAAAAGGAAGAGGAGCATCTTGAGAAGATTTCTGTGCTTATTTCCATTGAGCCAGCACATCTACAGCCCTGGAGACACATTCAGTCATCCCTAGAGGACACAGCTAGCCACAGCACAAGCATCCCTTGCCACAGCCTTGCTGCATCTTATTCCTGAGCTGCATCCCTCGTTCCCCTGCATACAAACAGACCTCAGCTTATGCAGTACAGCAAGCCCCCTGCCAACCAAGGAAAGGCTAAAAGTAGTGATGTCCACACTGGACAATTGTCCTGTCCAAGTGGTACCAAGACAGAAAATGAGAGGACTTTAGGTCGCTCCTGGATTTGCTTGCAGAGAAGAAAACCCTGCCCTGGTTCGGTGCCCTGCCCTCCCTCCAGCCCAGTGACCCACTTGCCTGAGAAATCTCATCTCTTCATCCTTCTTCTCATCCTCGCTGATGATCTTCGAGGTGGTGACACTCACCTCTACTCCATCCACCACAAACTTGCGGGTACGTTTCAGTGTCTTCTTGTGCATCCGGGAATCCTGAGTTCAGCAGGAGAGGAAAGGAGGTGGCAATGAAGCAGCTCCCCGGCTTGTTGCACGGGGTGCTACAGCTGGAAGCCTCAGAGCAATTTTGATGCCGTCATTAATGAAGAACATAAGCAAGGAAACCACATCGAGCAAAAATCATCAACAGATTTGGAGCTGCCATTCGAGCCACGCAGCCTTGCTATCACACCATGGCACAGTGTGATTTCCACTCTGCAGAAAACTGACCTGGAGGAGAGGCAACCCACCACCTGAAAACCCTTCCTCGCCATGTCCAGCTACAGCGAAGCCTGAAGGGGGATGCTAGGACCCTCCTGAATTGCAGTGCCGAGGAATCCACACAACATGAAGCTTGCAATGGCTGCTTTTGAGGCTCCTGGGCCATCTGACCCCCAGGTACCCCCCACACACTCTTGGAGGTGCAAGGCAGGGAAGTCCCCTGCATCAGGCTGTGACTGCAGATGGAGCTACAGGGAAACAAGCCAGCCCTGCCCAAAGGCTCTCTGCTGGTGTCCCTCTGGCCCTCATTACAACACCTCGCTAATCACAACCAGCTCCAAGCCTCTTACAGTGACCTCCACAAAGCACAGCCCAGGCTCATTTCACTAGCACAGGTAGGCACAAGTGCCAGGAGCACTGTGTCCTCTCCCAGCAGTGCCACAGCAGGTCAGCATCCCCCTGCAAAGTCAGCAGCCCAAGCCTGACTGAAGGATGCATCCAGCGACTCGGTTTCTTTGGGGGGGGGGAAGATATGAATAACTTGAATCATGCAGCCCTATGGGGAAAGCACAGTGGTAGAGTGAGCAAAGGCTCCCTGAAGTCCTCTTGCTCTTACAGCAATGACCTTTACAGATATAGAAGATGGCAGAAGAGCTTCATGTGAGCCTGCAAGGCCCAAAGCAAGCCCTCGGAGAGCTTGCTGCAATGGAGGAGCCAGAGAAACTCTGAGGGCATCCAACTTGCCCACTGTGTAACAACGTACCACCAAAGTAGCGGTTCAACCAACACAGAGAAATTGGTGCAAAAAGGTTCGCATGAGACCAGCTTAGGTCACGAAGGCTCTTACTGCCCCAAACTGAATTAAAACAGCTGGCGAAAACTCCTGCATTTTCCAAAGGAAAAAAATGCCAACATTCAACTGCCTGTGCCAGCCCCAGTGCCCATTAACACTGTGACTCACTGCCTGAGCCCAGTGACCCTGGGCTGCTGCAGCTGGGCTGGTGCCTGGTCCCCAAGTGGTCCCCAGGCTCTTCCCCACTGTTGAACGAGCAGCTCCCTGCCTTATTCATGGAGCTACTCAAATGTAGATCTAAAACCAGAATTATTAATTTTCTCCTGGTCTTTTCTGGTATCTCTCATTAGCAGGCCAGCATCCTCTCTGGAACACAACTAAATGCATTTTCAAGCATTCCTGTAAAGTAAATTATTCTCCAGAGAACAGCCTGAGAAACTGTGGTCATATGGGATGCTGACTTTGAGTCCCCACTGACCACACTTCACAGCGCACACACCCCAGTGTGCCTCTTCCAGCTCCCAAGGGCTTCAGCTAAAGCTGTGAACTCCCAGTATCCATGCAGGTCAGACTTTAGAAATTCAAGCTAGATACTCAAAAGAAGGAGTTCCCTCCAGAAACAGTTGTATCTGAGAAAGTTTGGTTTACCTTTTCAAAACCCTATCCATCTCCTTCTGCCTATTTCTGACTGTTTTCTCTGCCAGCTACAGCCTCCAAAACTCATCTTTAGATTTTTTTATCCCTAATCTTTCTAAAAAAAGAAAAAACAGACCCAGATACTTTTTGCCAAAACTGTTTGTTTGTGGGTTTTTTTAGACTAAACTATAGGCAACTAGAAAAAGAGTCTGGTAATAAAAGAGTCACCTTAACTTTGCAGTTTAGTCTGTGATAAAAAGCACATAATAGTTAATGTTTACAACTAGAAATGGTTTAACTCTTTGCTTACCCTTCTCTTGCTGCAAGCTGCCTGGCACCCTGTGCCTGAAACCCAGTGGCACCAGGAACATGAGCAAGGGCAGAGCAGGGGAGTTTAACCCCACGAAGCTAAGGCTGGGCAAGGAGCCAGGGTGAGGAGGGAGCAGTACAGCCTGGTACTCCCCCGTGCACTCACAGCTCACTGTGCAAAGCAGAGGCTTCAGCAGAGTGTTTTTCCCAGGGCCCTCCAGCAGCATCACTCCTGGAGAACAGCTCTGCTTGAATGGCTTGCTTGGAGAGATGCCATTTAGTTTGTTCTGAGCATTACCTCTGGCTAGGGCCATTCAAACCGTGATCTAATATGACCATCTATCTCTTTGAGACTTACTGCCTGTAAAATGAAAAAACTCCTTTCCCCTTCTAGGGGACCAGCTGGGGAAGAGCAATCACACACATGGCATCGTATTCATCTTTGGCTGGCCTCAAACAGACCAGGTGTCTGTTTGACATGGGAAAGGCAGTGAGGAGGGGTAAATCACCATGCAAGAGCATCACACTTCCCTCATTAGGGATGCACATTGATTGAGGGCTCCTGCAGGGGATGCTGGCTCTCACGCTCACAGCAGGAGACAGGAGGGGAGGAAAGTTTTGCAGAGAATGGTTTTGGGGCACGTTTCTGTGCTGGGAAGCTATCACTCATGCAGGCAATTGGATGAAGAACTTGTGCAACACATCACTCTGCCCCCTCAAGTCACACACATTTCTTCTTCTGAAGCTCAGCAAGTAGCATTCCAGTTATTTTGCCTCTTCCTCTAAGCCATGCTGACCTGGCCAGCTCTGGCTCACAAGCATTCCCAGCCTCCAGAAAGCTTTAGCAAAAGCCAAGAAGCCTGGGAGGTCTTCGTGCAAGTCACTGCTGACACAAACCAGGCCAGATGTATGGCAGGTTGGAAAAAATGAGAGGCACCACCCCAAATAAGCCTTCTCCTGGGGCTAGGTGTTCTAGGAAAGAGCAGCAGAGTGATGGGCAATGGATAAAGTTTAGGAAATCACATTTTTGGGTTTCATACTTGTCCTTGCTCTGATTGTGTATGTCTGCACAAGTTGGGTGAGTGGCACTGTTACTTCACACTTCTCAGGGACCCAAAATAGCTACAAAACATCAGACTTCCCTTAGATTTCAGTGGCCTGGGACAGCAGAGGACACACGTACCTGCACCAGCTCCACCAAGAGCTTCTCCTTCACTTGAGAACGTGCCATATGCCCATGGCACAGCTTAACCCAGCAGTATGTGCTGGGCTGCCCTGAGCCCAGTTGGGACAGGCGTCCCATAAACAGGGAAAACAAGCCGTTGAAGGCTTTGCCTAGAGATGGGCTTCCTCCCTCCTTGCTGGCCCTGTGTTTACTTGCAGAGCTCCAAGCCTGAATGCTCACATAGCAAGTGCTGCAGCCAGCCTTGCCAGCTATCTTGCCAAATAGCACTGGGGAGGCACCTGGGTGGTCTTTAGCATTGTGCTCAGGCAAGATTCCTGGACCCTCTGTCTTCATCCAGCCTCTGTCCGTTCCTGCTTTACCTGCTCCCCACCTTCAGGCACAGGGAAGAGTAGGGGCAACTCACGTTCTCCTCAAGTCAAAGATCAACCTCATCTAGAGTACAGCATGCTGCTTTCTCAGGAAGGCATTTAAGAGGCTGTGACCAAGTGTGTACGTGTACAACCTCTCAAGGAAAGGATCTGAATTTCAGGGACTTGGCTAAAAAGGGGGAAAAAAACCCCTCAGCACTTTTTAACAGGGGTTTGCTGCCCTTCCTTCTCCACACCCTCTGCCCACCACTCTTACCTTCAGGGAGATGGAGCCACTCTCTCTGTTGAGGGACAAGTCAGCAGACAGGGAGATGGTGAGGTCCATGCTTTCAGAGGCTGAAGTGCTGCCAGAATCCGAATCCCCTTTGGAACGGTTGCCAGGGAAGGGAGCTGGGGGATCCAAACTCCCGTTGGCAAGCTTCTCCTCTGTGAAGTTCTCCAGGTGACTGCTCTCCGGATGCTCCCCGATGCTCTTCCGCTCCTTTCTGCCTGGCCCGGGCTGCTTGTCCCCCTCTGTTGAGTTACCCACCCGTCCAGGCTGTGAGATGATGTCTGGTTTGCCCTGGGTGGCCGAGGTGGCAGAGCTGGTTTTTGTGGAGCGTTTGCTCTCCAGTTTGTCATTGTCACTGCTTATTCCTTCATCTGAGACTTTATCGCTCTGTCCATCTGTGGTCTCCTTGCCAGTCCCCACAGGCCCGTTCACTGCCTTGGGCAAGGAAGAGTCTGGAGGCTTTTCCCCATCAAAACTCAGCTGACTCGCCTCAGAAGGGTCCCGCTTGTGCTTACCAGGGGGCTGGAAAGACAGCGAAGGGAAGGTGTTGGGTTTTGCACCACCACTTTAACACAACTGCAAGAGCTGCAATTCCCCACACATCAGAGCAAAGTCACCCACAGCTAAAGAGTTATTGGGAGGAAATCTTCCCTTTTAGGACATCTGCCCTGGGATACTTTTATTTTTCTCCAGGTTTGTGGTCCCAAGGACTATGGACACTGGCTGGAAGGAAACAGCACAGCAAGCAAGCTCCAGAACCTGCAAGTTCTTAAGACGCAGCCTAGGAGTTTGCATATCAAACACCTTTTCCCGTGGCTAACTCCACCATGGATTAACCACTGTCCTTTGCCACAGATGAGGGAGGTCGAGGCATGTCGCCCAGCAAAGCTGCCCAGGCAGCCTTGAGATGTCCCCTTCAAAGAGCCCAGCTCAGGGGCAGATTTGCTGAGCTCCCTCCTAGGGCTGGTGGTACCTCACTGCTGCGCCACGTGCTGCTGGTGGTGCTTCCACTCCAGCCTGTACCAGGGCCTACTTTTTTTTTTTTCTTTCCTTTTTTTTCTCAAACACTTTTTGTAAGCCCCTCCTGCGAGCCAGCACCATTGTTTCTCATTGCCCTTGGCAGCCACTGAAAAACAGCCCCTCCCTGCCCAAGCAACCACTTCCCCCTCCACCTGATGGGGCCTAGAATAGCTGTAAACCAGCTTTTTAGAGCCTAGAAAAGTTGCAGGGCTCTTTCCCCCACCACAGCCGCAGTGGCAAACTTGCCAGCACGGGGCTGGGAGTGCTCACCGAGGCAGACTCCGACGAGTCATCTTCTTCCGCTTCATCCCGACTGTCCTCAATCTCTTCCATCACCTCAGCCTTGGCCTCGGCCACCAGCTCGCGTAGGGCCCGGTTGCTGGTCACCTTGCTGACGAAGGGATGCTGAAAAGCCAAGCACAACGCACATGCGTGAGGTGGCCAAAAAACAGACTTCGTGAGCTCACGGCCGAGCGACCGCATAGGGATGGTGATGGCAAGGACCACTTCTTGCTTTAAAACAACTGCAAAGACCTAAGGACACGGTTCTTGCCAGTGTCACCAGGCTTAACCCCCCCAGATGAATTTACAGATAGGTGCTGCACATGTGAGGGAGAACAAGAGAGAACACAATGCCGAGGTTAAGCGCCAGCTCTGTACACAGATGCTCAAAGCGTGGTGTTCTGCAAAGCTGCTTTACGTTAACATCCCCCAGACAAAAGCACCGGTTCCACTTAAACAAGGGGCTCTTGCTGCAGAGGAGACGTCCCCCCTCGCTGCAGGCAGGCTGAGCTCCGGAGCGCAGCTCCGAGCCCGCAGAGTGCCACCAGCTTGCAGGATCCCTGGGTGCAAACAGAGCATGGGGGAAGGTTGAGTTGAAATCGGGCTCGAATCGCTCAGTGCACACAGTGGGGTGCTCGTGCTGAGCTTCAGCAAAAGGCTGGGGAGTCCCTCGGGTTTGCAGAAACCGTTGCACACTTTTTCCCCGCTGACTTGGGTGCAGGACTGGAAGCGTGCAGCCAGACTGCCAGTGCTGCAGAGTGAGAGCATTTGCAGTCAGTGGGGAAAAGCATCTTCCAGGTTTTTGCTATTATTTTGAAAGGGGACGGGAGTAAAGGAAAGGAGTTGAATTTAAATCTGGGATAACCAGGTATCATCTAAGCTGGCTGCCACGTGGGCATTTTTAGGCAACGGGAGCCATTTCTATTCCAGCTGGTGTCCACAGGGGCTCTGCAGTTTGCTCCAAAGGCAAAAACATTGCCGTTCATTTTTGGAGCATTTTAGTGGCTCAAAAGTACTACGAACTTTCTAAACTAGACAAAAGTTATCTGAAACCAGCCTAGGGCCAGTAAGCACTTTTTTTTTTTTTTTTTTTAAACCCTCCTTAAGGAGAAGCAGGCTGTACAGACACAGGTAGTTCAGACACTCGCAGACCCAGGGAGACACGGACACCAGCTGCAGACCCAGCCCAGGGGCTGGTGCTGGTCCCTACCTCCAGCAGCTGGGCGGCACTGGGCCGGGTCTCCGGGTTCTTGTCCAGCGCCGTCTTCAGGAAGTCTCTGAACTCCAGCGACCTTAAACCACAGTCATTCATGAGAAGCTCAGAAAAGGGAAAGACCTCACACACCACAGGGGCTGCTCAACCCCTTTGCAGGTTGTGTCCCAGTTTGCAACTAGCCACAATCACCGTTGCACTCCTAGCACAGGAAATCCTGTGCTCGGTTGTTCTGATTATTCGTAAGAGAATCAGCAATGTGGTCAAGTGAGGGACTAGATTTTGCCTTAGCTGGGATGGCAACAGACAGTGGGACTGAGCACCAGCCACTGTACCCCAGGGCCAAGGTGGAGAGATCGGAGAAGACACCAGCAGTTATCCTCCAAAGGGAGCCCATGGGAGGAGCTGCTTGTGCAAAAGGATGCTCCAGGACCCATCCCCACAGCCGCAGTGTGAAGGGATGGCTGTGAAGGACCAGAAACCCCACAGAAGGGCACCCTCAACCTGCAAAGCGCAGCTCTGAGATACAGAGCACGTACTGATCCAGTTGTGGCTTCTGAGCTGCGCCAGAGGAAGCGCTCCCACCCTGCCTGCTACATGAACCGCTGTAACAACACTTGTGACTCCAGTGCTCTCCCAGTAATTTGCTGCTGGCCATCATGCAGCGGGTTTTATCATGATTAAAAAAAGAAATAAAAAATTAACTGATTGGATTTTTTTTTAAATGCATAAGAGGCTTTCCAGACTCCAGGAAAGAAATTCTGGAGCTCTTGGCCATCTCCAGGTTCAGAGGAAAATCTGCCTTTCATACAAAACCAGGATGTTTTGAAAACAGCAGGGCTGTGGGTGGGCAGCAGCTCCCCCCGTGCTGCCTGCACACCGTCAGCATGGCCACGGCACAGGCAGCACCGAGCAGCCTGCCTTCAGCCAGCAGTGCTCTCGGGGCTCTAGCACACAGCTGGACCTAGAATACAGCTAGAATCCTACAATGCGTTCTCAAATTAAACAGTACTGCTAGAAACGACTATTTTTCCTCTCTTGAAATACCGTGTAAGTTGGGAAACGTGTACTCTGCTGCCCAAACCCCCTCACCATTTGGAAGGGCAGCTGAGCGTGGGGGGGTCAGACTTGGCAATCTTCAGCAGCACTCTCATGGGGTTGAGCTCGTGATGGGGTGGCTCGATCTGGGCCATTTCAATCAGCGTGATTCCCAGGGACCAGATGTCCGCCTTGTAGTCGTACGGAGTGTCCTTCATGGTCTCGCACATCACCACCTCCGGGGCCATCCTGCAAGGGGCAGAGGAAGGAGCAGAGATGGGGAGGGATGACACCACTGCCACACAGTGTGAGCCTTGCAGCAGCAGTTAAATGCTTTAAATAATCCACAGCATTGCATAAAAACATCCTTGCCTCCTAGCTCTGGGTTTCAGAAGAAGCAGCATCTTTTCTAAGGGGTGCAACCCCCTCCCTCTCCTGCAGGCCAGCCAAGACAGCCCAGGCAGCCCATGGAAGCCCCCAGGCCATTGACATCTGGCGCGGATGTTGCTTCAGACAATAAATTAATCCTCGCCGATTCCATTCCTTCAGCAAGTCGGGTGATTTAGAGATTGCGTTTCTGGAGCGAGGAGTCGTTCCCATGTGCTTGGAGTCGCTTCAAAGCCCACTCCACCCCCCTGGGTGGGGGGAAGCGGGGAGCACACACACGCGAGCACACGCGTGTCCCTCACTCCTCCAAGCCTGAAGCATGGTGGCCCCTTGGCCGGCTCAGGGTACCGTGACACCGGGCAATGCTACTGCACCACCGAGACTGCTCACAGCTCCCTTCAGGCAAGCAAAACCCTTGCACGTGTGGACACCGGCCCGGACTCCTCGTTAAAATCCTCCCACCCATGCTCGGTAAGGCACTACGGTCCAACGCACCCCAAAGGCCATCGGCTCCCCGTTTCTGAGCAAGCCTGATTTTCAGAAGAGTGAAGCTCCTCATAAACACGGGATTTCTTAGCAAGCAGGTCACTCACCAGTAAGGGGTCCCAATGAAGGAGTCTCGCTTCTGCAAGGTTTTAATGTTTTTGGCAGACACTCCAAAGTCAGCTGCAAAGAGCAGTAACATTAGATGCCGTAGGAAAACTGAAAGACCCTTCTGAATTAGCACACTTGGCTGAAACGCAGATTTAAAAGCAAACACACTTTTAAGGCAAGAACATGATACAACGTGCTGTTTCCTCTAAACTGAGCATCAGAAATTAAATTTGCTTTTGGGTACATAACCACCAGGGACCTTCCCCTCCCATGTACTATAAGACAGGGGCATAAAAAGCCATCCCTACTGTAACTCAAACGCTACACATCTAGAGGGAAGTCAAGATCTTTTCCACAAACAAACAAAAACAGCTCCGTGGCAGATTACTTTCAGGACTGCTATTTCATAGCAAAAAGTCTCATTTTACACCAGAAAAACCAAAGTCCTGTTACATTCTTTCTCTTCCCTTCAGTCCTATGAACATCAGCCACTGCATGATGCCTTTCCCCGATTTTGTCCCTTCTGTAGAGAGCTGCTGAAGCCAACCCAACCCAAATCAAATCGGTAAGACCTGCAGAGGGTACCAAGCCCACTTCAGGTCAGTTTGCTCCCCGAGATGGCCCTGATGACCTCTGGAGGAGCTGTTATCCATCTGTACCCTGGGCTCAGGGTGTCCCTGACTGTGGGTCACCCTTGGCCCAAGCCAGCAGTGTGTTTTCACACTGGAGCACAACCCATGGCCACAGGAAGGTTTCCATCTTCCCAGGCTGACCGGTCTCTATTGGCACCCACAGACACATGCCAAGAACACCCCACAGCTGCTGGCACCCCTCTGCACCTTTCTGACCAGTTCCTACAGACAAAGCTACCTTCTCATCCCCCAGCAGGTAGCTGGATGCCAATTTAACTCAAGCCCATAGCGAGTTGGCAAAGCGACCCTTTGGCAAAACTCAACCTGTCACCACCAGACCTGCTCTGGAGATAAGACAAATTCTTCCAGCTCCCAGCCCTGCCAACTGGCACCCTGCACAGGATGCTCAGCAGGCCAAAGAGCATAAAAATCAAGTCCAAAGAGGGATTAAGCAAATTCACAAAAGTAAAGTCCGTCAAGGGCCTGAGCACGGCTGTGGCTCGGCAAGTCTTGGTGCCCGGCTGGGGGCTAAGCACAGCACACAGCTCGATGGTAGATTTAGCCTCCCACAAAACAATAGGAAGTTTTTCCCCCCCTTCTCCTGCCTGAGCTCGTCAGCCAGCAGACAAGCAGCTGATGTCCCGTAGGCAGGGCAGAGAGCATCCTTCAATCCCCCCCAGGCTCAGACACAGCCAAACACTACAATCCAGCTCCAAGCAGCACGTGGCCGTCATTAGCGTAGCGTGAAATGGTCCCAAGCAGCACCATCGCCCACGGCAGCTCTCCCAACGAGCTCAGCCCAGCAAGCGCCTGCCGTGCTCCTGTGCCGCGCAGCTCACCGAGCTTGATGTCCCCATCCTGGGTGAGGAGCACGTTGCCTGCCTTCAGGTCACGGTGGATGATCTTTTTGCTGTGGAGGTAATGGAGGGCTTCCAACATCTGGCGGCAAATCACTTGAATCTGAGGTTCGGTCAGGCCCCGGTCCAGCTCTGTGGGGAGGGAAAGAACCGTTAAACAGGACAGGGATTAGAGCGATGCTCCACCTGAGCAGCAGGAAGGCATGGGCTACCCAGCAGACCATTTAAAAACCACTGTCCATGTGTCAAAGCAGCAGGACACCAATGCAAATCAGCTTGTTAAGATAATTTATTCCCTAAGCCAGCACTCAGCACAATGCCTGCCTGCTTGGAGCCGCTGGTTTATAGCTCCCTCCCAGGGATGCACGGCTGAGGCATCTGGCCCAGCGGGTGAGGGGGACCAGGAGGGGGAGCCAGGCATGCCTGCGACGGGGGTCTGAACTGCGAGTTCCTCGCAAATTTGGGAAATGGGTCCCTGCAGACAAGCTGGGCCTTGCCCAGCACGGGGACAATGCTGCAGACAGGAGGGAGCTGAACTTGGCTGCAGGCGGCAGCGGGGTCAAACACAGGCATGAACGCTCAGCAGCTCCATACGCAGCCACGCTCTCATCCCCCAAGGAGCTACCCCTGCGGCAGAGATGCAGCGTAACCCCCTGTACATCAGGAGGGACATGCCACTTCCCAAAGCAACAAGCAACAAAATGCTAACCAGCGTTATCCCTAGTGCTCTGAGCTGGTATTTTCAGGTAGCACCAGGTACCAGCACACCAGTTCATACCCCACTGTCTGTCCCTATTTCTGAAGCTTGCGGGGACACACGACCACTGGGACGACCTCCCTGCTAAGCTCTGCCCGGCCACCTTTACCATCCGAGACTGCTTTCCAAGGCGATGGCTCTGCAAACCATCAAACTTCCAGATGGTTAGCATCGTCCGCAAGCCCTTTGCAGTGCAGATCCCTCCTCCGGCACAGCTGAGTGTGCAGCAGAGCAGACCAAGCCTTAGACAGCTCCAACTGCCCAAACTGCATGGCCAGGATAGGGGCTGACGGATGGACCCCAGCAACTGGGACAGATGCTCGTTCAGAGCAAGGATCTTAACCACAGGCTGGGGGATGCCGAGTCAGCCACTGTGTTCCTCCTCTTCCTCACCAAGATCTCCCTCGCTCTGGGGAAAGCTGATGATTTTCACTCTCCCTGGAGCATCTGGCAAAAGTGAGGTGCAGTGGGCCACAGGTTTTGTACAAAAGATTTCAAAGGCAAACGCCAGTTGCTGGTGGGGATGGGGAGGTAGAACAGGCAGCATTCGGCAACTCTGAATTTACTAATGCTGGGAGCATTCCTGAGCTCTGAATTGCAGCTCCTCCTGCCCCTCATTCAGGGGTGATGGCACTACAGCCAGACCACTTGCTCATGGTTTTCTCTGCTCCCCCTTCCCAGGTCCTCCAGAGACCGACTGCCATGGACAAGGCCCCACAAATGCTCAGGCAGATTTTTGTGTCCCAAGAGACAGGGCACCCCTGTTGAGGTTTTCCAGGGGGAAGGCATCATCCCTTCCAGCACTTCAGAAAAGGTACTTTTTCATGCAGTGGTTTGGACCTGCTTTAAAGGTGCCTCCTTTAGGAAACTTAAGTTTTAGGGGCTGAATCGAAGATGACAAATTTGGGTCCATACTTCTCCTGGAAATAAAAAGAAAGCAAGGCCTTTGGAAATACCAGAGCTGAAAGGGAATAACCCCCCGGGAGATGCGGCTCTGTCCTAGGGCTCCAGGCAAGAGGATGTCAGAGCACCCTGCAGAGGGGATGTCACCCTGCCCCGGGGTCCGTACAGCCCTGGCACAGAGGGGCTGTGGCACCAGCCAGGGCTGTTTTGGGGAACACCCACATACTCCCAGTCCCAGCGGCTCTATGTGGAAGGGAGGAGTTAAAAATGGGAAGATTCCAGGAATTACTGCAAACTGCAGTTTATTCCGACGCTCTGCTGCTTCACCAGATGACCGATATCACATGGAGAAGTCAGCAAGAAGATCCTGGGAGATTCATTGCAACAGGCACCCAGATTAAACATCTCAGCCCCGCTGCCCTTCCCAGGAAGCTGTGGGAACGGGATCCCAAGCACCCAGAGCCTCCAGCAGATAAATATTTAAAGCCATCTTTCCCCTCCAGCCAGACTCTCCCTTCTCCCCATGCCTTGTGATCTGCTGATCCCAGCAGCATTTAAATCACAAAAGGACATCAAAGTAGCTCAAGAAACACCCCAGGGCTGCCACACCTTCTGCTCCGGGTATGAAAATAGGCAAACTCATGGGAGACAAACGGTAGCTGGAGAAGCTGGGGCACCCCCGTCTGCTGTCTGTCCGAAGGTTGCCCCTGAAAGTGTGCCAGAAAGCTGGAGACACCTTGCAGGCATCGCCCTGAGCATGGAGAAGAGCCCGGCACCACGCGCTGCACTCACCCAGCATGGTGGCATCCACCGCCCCGCCTGGGCAGAACTCAATCATGATCTGGGGAAACAAGGAGAGAGGAATTAAAGTCCCATCCACGTCACACTAAGCAAAGCCCACCGGGTAGGGAAGAGGAGACAAAAGCACTGGGTTCTGCTTCCTCGCATGGCAAAGCCACCCCTTTGCCCCACACAGTGATGCAGAGGCTTCGGTGCTTCCCAGGACACATGCCCCAGGCAGCCCCAGCACAAACCATCACCCAAGCCCTGGGGCCAGATCCTGCACACCATCTACAGCAGCCATCTCAGAGGGACCGTCCCCATCGCTGCAACACCCCCAGAGCAGTCGTGCCTGGCCTTGTACCTGGACGCCTAGCCCGAGCAGCCAGCTTCAGCTCCATCTTCCTCTCTGTTTACATCTCTTCCCATTGCATTTTGAAGCACGGGCTGCTAGAGAGAGAAGCCTTGCCAACAGGATGAGATAGCTGTCATAGCTGGGAGCTGACGTGGCTGGGAGAAATCAGGCAGGATTTTCTTTGGCAAATTGGCAAAGAAGAGATGGAGAGGGCTGTCGGGTCTTTAATTTTTTTTCACTTTTTTTTCCTCCCCCACTGCTCAGTAGTTCATTGCTCTCTCGATTTTGAGCAATTTGAAGGCAAACTATGTCAATAAAGAGGTCGAGTACATTCACCAGATTGATGCTGTTTCTCTCCCAGGGACATGCGCAGAGTCCTGCCAGTCCCCTGCTGTCCCCCCGCAGGGTGGGCAGCACCCACTGGGTGGGCCCTTCCCAGCATCTCTGGGATGTGCGTCCTCTTTCCCCTCACCTCTGCACAAACTCAGCCAGAGCGCTTTCCGGGCTAAGGCTCAGTGCCAGCCCCTGCTCCCCTTCGGGGCAGATGAGGCTGCTCAGATAAACAGATTAAAATTTCAAGCAGCCAGAGGTTACGAGGGACAAGAGATGCTTCACCTCCCCGACAAGCTCCTCTCCTTGTCGAGGCGACACAGGGCAACATACCGGAGAGGTGAAATGCCAGAGTTATTTTGAGGACAACGACTGAACAAACCAAAGGCAGTGTTTACCAGCACAGCTCTCTAAGCCCTTCAAAGTGGACGTCATGTTATTCAACACAGCTCTAAGCACTGGACCAGGAGCCGAGGGGAGAGAGGGGAGAAGGTTCAAGGTCCCTCTTTCCCGTGGTCTAATCCTGCAGCTCCAGGCAATCCCACCCTTTCGTCCTGCAGTTCCTACACGTGGACGAGGCAAATGCTATTATTGACCTGGATCGTGGTGGAAGACACAACTGCTTTGTTTTGGAGGAGAAGAGGGAGCAGGATCAGGTGCTGGGATGCAGCAAACCTCGAATTGCTCTGCGAGGACTGGCCCAGGTCCAAGAGTCAGAGGGGAGACAATGCTGAGAAAAGAAACCCAGGCAGGTTGGGCAGTGCGACACAGGCACCGTCAGAGGAAGCGGAGAAGAATAACCAGAGGCCAGGGCTGGGGAAGCGTTTGGAGCAGGCAGATGGAGAGAAGCAACTGGGAAGACATTCGAACCATTTGCAAACCAGAATAAATATGCACAATTCGGAGCTGAGCAGGAGCCTGGCAGGGAAGAAACCAGTGGGACAGCAGAGCCCTCACACAAATGGGCCATGTCAACACATTTTTTCTTGCTTGAGTTTATACTTTAAACCAGAGCGTCAGCAGCTTCACTAGCAAAGGGAAAGGAAAGAATTGCCTCCTGCCATGGTCTCCCCAGGCACAGAGATCCCCACTGGACCCCTGTGCCCCACCATGACCCCAACACAGCTCTAGGAGGCTCATTTCAACAAAGTATTTCTATAGTTCCTCATCACGTTCATCAGAGCAGACTACCACCACCAGTGGACACCAGCCCTTCCTGCGCTCCTCGGAGCCCAAAGTGCTAGAAGCAAACCCCAAACAAGCCCCACACCAATGCCAACCTGCCAACTGGGAGGGCAAGGGCTTGCCCTCGCTCTGGGAGGCTGAGGGGACGTGCGGGGCTCTGCTGGCACAGCCAGCCCTGTGACAGCACCTCCGCACAGCGATACCACGATCCTGCCCATGGGACCTGTCCTCTGCCAGACCATCCAACCTCCCACTAGCCCTGCTCCTGCCGATCCAGGCACCTCGGGAACTCACCTGCCCAAAGACGGTGGTCTCTGGGTTCAAGCAACAGCCTCCCTTACATTCAGTCAGTAGAGAAGGCTGGATGAGAAGCTTGTCTGTGCTACTAGGCTCACTCAGCTCTTGAATTTAAACAGTCCCAAAACTTCAAACAGCTGAGCCCGAATCAGCCGCTAACATGGCCTTTGCCATCCAGGTGACTTGTGTGCTTTCCGTGTTAATGCTCAGCAAGCAGCTTTACAGCTTCTGCCTCTTTGTGTGTCCCAACTAAATGAAGTCCACTGGCATCAGATGCAGCTCCTCTTAGACAGCCTCCAGGTTAAGAAATGTAATTTTAATTTTGAGGGGTGAGACACACAGAGGGCACCCAGCTGGGTAACAGCCACAGCTGCCCTGGTCAGCAGAGTCCCTGGGAGCCCAATGCAATCCCCCCCCGCCCTGGGCAGATGCTGTGCTGAGGTTTCCTACCAGGCACCTGGCTCGCACAGCTGAAATATGCTCTGGGCAGACATGCTGAGCTTTTAGATGAGGAAGGGCCAAGCACAACGCACCCTACTCTGGATCTGTGTGGGATGCATTTCATCTCACAAAGTTTCATTCGGGTTCGTGGTCTAGCAATGAGAAAATTAGGGAAATCAGTCCATCTGAACCAGCATGACCATGTATGTTTATGCAGGCACAGCAGGCTGCAAGCCAGGCACTGGGAATATGGGAAATATGGAAAACTTAAAAATATGCATTTTCAACAAGGGCAGAGATGCCAAAGAATAATTTATGGGTGTGGCCAGATTGTCTGAACATCCAAAAACCTAATGGGCTCGTTTCAGCCCAGAAAACCTGATTTAAACAAATGCAACTGGCAATCCCATAGCGCATACATCACACACACTTCCTTCCAGGAGCAGGGCCAGCCTGAAAAAAAAACATTTTACCATTGCAGCAGGTAGGAAGGCCTGGTGGCAGCAGCACAGGGCTGTCTCTGTGTATGAGCTGGGGGATGCAGGAAGCTTGCGGAGAGCGGCGGCTGTGCAGGCACCCTCCCCAGACCCACAGTGGGGATTGGGGCGGGCAGGTGGTAGCTGACACCCTGGGCGGGCAGCCTGCTGCTCCGGAACGGGTTGGGAGGATCTCAGAAGAGAACTGTGGACAAGAGCCTGTGCATCTGTGCAGCCAGGAGGCTGGTGATCTACCCAAGGGCTGCAAAAAGTTTAACTCTTCGCTTAGGGCTGTTTCCATGTGCTTTGATATATGGGCTGACTACTCCTTTACTGAGGTGTCCCCAAGCCACAGCTGGAGCAGTAACTGCTCTAGTGACAATCTCACGTCACCTCTCAAAGCCACACTGGGCAGCTGCCTGCGCTGTGCTCGTCTGTCCCCAGCAAACCCCCTGTGACCTGCAAGACCAGGGACCCAGCACAGGGTTTGCTACAGAGGCACGGCAGCACCGCAAAACAGAGGTTTCACACACCCAGTGCCAAAAAAGCTCCCGCGGTCTCGTGAACCAGAGATACGAGACCCATGGGGGTCTCTGCCCCAACGCTGACATCCTGAAAGCAGCTCCTTCACACTAATTAGAGCTGGCGGGAGCACCCACACCTCCCCCTCCATCTGCGTAGGGTCCAGGCGAGGGGGGTCTGAGCACCCGCTGCAGGGTCTGAAGAGAGCAGCCTGGAACGGGGCTGGAGCAAACATCCTGTTCGTAATGATTTCCTCCGCACAAGAAATCCAGGGACTTCCTCGCCGAAGGCTGCCCAGCCCCTCCGCTGCGCTGGGCTGCCAGAGCGCACACGCAGCAGCAACCGGAGTTCTCCCTCCTGCTGCCACCTCAAAGCTGTTATCAGTCCCGGGGATTACACGCCATCAGCATTTTAGTTTTTCAGTCCGTAGGCAGTTGCAACTACACTTCGCAGGCACGAGCAAAATTTGCCACTAGCTCCCATTCCTGAGCTATAGGAGCTACACGACCGACTGACGGCTGCCTTCCAGCACAGCCAGAGCCCCGTGGTGTCAGCTCCGACACCACCGCCAAGAAACCAAGCCACCGCGCTGGGCTCATTTGCAGCTCGACAGGGACACACGAGCTGCACGCACAGGAACAGATTTGGGCAGCTGGTTTAAAGACAGAGAAAGGAACCCGCTCTCACTACTTCTCAAAACCTTTGTACCACAGTTTGAGCGCTGCTATTAAAAAAAAAAAAAAGGGCCCTTTTCTCCTATACCTTTAGTGAAACAGCATGAATGAAGATGTCAGCATGCAGAAGCTACATAATCTTTCCCTTTCGAGAAACTTTTGCATTGGCAAAATTAAATTTAAACTTAAATTCGAAAGCAAAAGTCCACTCAAGTTAAAGGGCTTTGCTGGTGACCTTGATTTCTCCCATGGCTCATCCTAATCCTGCCTTTAGGCACAGCAGGACCTGGAAGCATTTTGTAGCCCAAGTGGGAGCAGAGCATGCAGAGGGGGCTGGGGCCCTTTTCTCAGCTGCTCAAGTAATAAGTGACTGCCTGGGAGGAGAGGAAGCAGGGTCCAGTGAGCCTGGGGTTGCCCAGGAGAATAAATATACATACATATGTATGAAACAGCTATGGCTTAAATTAAATGCTCTTAAAGACACAGGTCTTCAATCTGTACCCAAGTAACGGGGCACCACACGTTATGAAAAAGCATTATATGACTTTGCAGCTCAAGACAGCAGATCAGACACTGTGCCAGGAGAATCCCTCCAGCACCTTACACCAGGAGAGGCCCAGAGGGACACTAACTCAGAAACCAAACCAAGGATGGATTAGAGCCCAGCACAGTTTTTGGGTCTGACAAACCAGGAGGGACGTCTCCTGCCCAGGTACCGAAGTCCTCCTGGGTAGGACGGAGAACCTGCTCGCTCCTCCCACCCTGGGCAAAACTGGTCCTG